TTTGCCAAAAGTCCAGGATGCGATGCGGAGGTGATGCGCAGTCCTAGAAGTTATCGTCGAGTATATACATGTATACGTATGTCAAAGTATACGTATGTTTAAAGTATATAAATACAAGTATATAGGAGTATATGCAAGTGTGTGTATAAGTATCGGCAGCAGGAGGAGGAAGTGTAGCAGCAATCGGCGAACATCGTCGTGGTAGTGGGGGTGGAGTAGTAGTGGGAGTAGTGGAGTAGGAGTAGCAGTAGGGTAGGCATGGTTGTTGAACATGGAGGCCTCAAAACCCGTAATCGATGTTTCCTTCGCGAGGGCTCCATTGATTCTAGCGTGAGTGTCTGTGTGTGTGCGTTTGTTTACCCGAGCGTCCGAGGATCGGAACTTAGAGGGCTGGTTATGCTGCAGCAAAGACTCGCTCATTCTGTACGGGGTATTCCACTGGCTTCAGCATAGCGTTGCTGCTGGTCGGCCGCAGCCTTGCTGCATGATGCTCAAGATCCGGGATGTGCAAGCTTATGAGATGGTTCCCTACCACAACCTCTAACTGATGCTTTCTCTACATGAGAGGTGAGAACCCCATTGTTCAGCCCGGCCATGAGACAATAGCTCTAGGTGTCGAGTCCTCGTGCAGCTCAGGTTCCGAGTATTCCGCCTGTTCAAGCGGGCCCGGAACCCCAGAACATGGAAGGTGCAAAGTTTAATGACAGTCTTTATACTGATAACGATCACAATGGGATTCAATGACATGATAATGATGAATGTATGAATAACGCAGTTTGTAGGCTTTTGCCTAGAGAAACTCGGCTCTTTGTAGGTTGGTCCCAGACAACCGAACTTGCAACTGGGGACGGATCCCTCGTCCTATACAAATCTCCTGTTTATATCCAGTGACCCGGGAGCAGCACTTGCTGCAGAATGCCTTTCCGACTCAGGAATCTATATGGGAGTTTCCGAAAATAGGGGTACCTGATTTTGGGCTCCTTATAAACAGGATCCTACTATTTAGGGTCCTATATTAGGGTCCCCTATTTTCGGAAACCCCCAGATGCACGGAATGCAGAGATCGTGTGAGTGCATCCAGAGAACATCGGACATCATCGGACGGCCGAAACCCGCTGATGCACGTCAAAGGAGTGCCACAGTGAGTGCATCTCAGCGTTACTGGTGTTTGGATGCGTGCCTGCTGAGGGAAGTGTGCCTGAGTCTTGTAAGGGCAGCTGAGAGGTGGATATCAAGCTCTCACGTGACTTATAAAGATGCCATTACGCAGAGCTGTTAGACTATTGGCAATGCCAACATTCTGACCACTGTCAGCATGGTCGTAAGTATTGCAAGCATCGCCACTGCGATTAATGGTACAGCCCACTGCTTCGAGCAGCATGAAAATGCTTCGTATTGTCACGATTAGGTGTCCTTATTGGCGCTTGGAAAGCATGATCAGCAGCAGCAATATTCGTAATGCTGTTACGACTCCTTGTCGCCATTCTCAGCATTTTCAGCACTATCTCAACAAGTTGCAAGGTCAAATCGCTCAACAAGATTATGGTTTCGCTGGCCAAGGCGGCGGCTGAGACGGGGACGAGAATCATCAGAGCCAGTGTGGGGTTAGCTGCTCTTGCATGACTTTTGCAGGCAGTTCCTGGCGTAGCAAACGCCTTTTTTATCTTGCTGCTGGTGATGTCCATATATGTCCTGGCCTTGGCTGAGCCCTGATGGAGAACACTTCACTACTGCAGAGTCAGTCAGGAGGTCCTGGTCAGTTGCAGCCGGCCAAGGCCATCATAGCCGTGGACCTCTTCAAGGATTATGGCAAGGGTGGCAAATACATCAACATCAAGGGGAATGAAGTGGCCCTGATCACCAGTCGACTCCTTAGCATCCCATCGAACCTGCGGTGGCTAAACGGTCCTCTTGTGCCGCTCTTCGTCCATCCAACCCGATGCTGCTTTCGCCCAGGCCGCCAGCAGGAGTATGGCTACGAGTACTTCGGCAACTTTGGCAAGTCGCTCTACACAATGTTCCAGGCCAGCTTTAGGGCTTCGCGGTTGGATTTGGAGATCTCTCTACCACCAAGTTCGCTCTCTTGGGACTAGGTTGGATTTCGATATCCGCCAGTACAAATCATGACGACAAGCTCAATGTACATGTTCATGATGAGAACATTATTAGTAGTCATCATAGCAGGTTTGCCTGCACACACACATACGTTATATGCATGTACGTATGCACATTTGATACCAACCGGTAAATGCTACATATGACAATGTGCCAAAAGATCCGTAACTAAGAACTATGGAAGGGAGCAGGCGTCCACCTGTACTGAAGAAGGGGCAAAGACCTGGCGTCCGGGTGGTCAGGGAGCTGTCTTTCCCAAGCTTTGCCATGCTTCAGGTCTGAGCATCTTGAAGCCGCAGAAACCTGAAGCACTGACAATTTGAAGCCTTGAAGCCCACGACCCAGACTCCAAAACCCTCAAGAAACCCGAAACCTTTGAGTAAATCCGAAATCCTAACCTTCACGCCCCAGAAGCCCCCGAATCTTTCTCATGCACCCTGAACCTCAATACTCGAACCCCGAAAGCCGCTAGCCCTAAACGCCCTGAACCCCAAACCCGATTTAGAGCTAAACCCTCCGAAACCCCAACCCTAGACCCTAAATCAGAAATCCGTAAGCCCGAATACTAATACTAACTAGTATTACCACTCCGAATCATACTATTGCTAACACACATACTACTAGTAATACAAATACTATTACTAATACTATTACTATTACTATTACCAATTCTGAGTTTCACAGGTCCTCACAGGCGAAAGCTGGGCGGAGGCTGTTGCGCGCCCGCTTCTGCACGGCCTCCTCGGCTGCGCGAAGTTTAGGGGTTAACGGTTTGGGGTTTAGGCTCCTAAAAATTCCATGGCTTAGGGTTTGGGTTCCTAAAAATCCACGGTTTAGGGATGAGGTTACTAAAAATTCCATGGTTTAGAGATTAGGTTCCTAAAACTGCAACGTTAGGGTTTGGAAGACTTTGTGCTCATAGCAGAAGCTTCGGTGCTGATGACGGGCATCCGGGTTTCGGGGTTTATGGACGGGTTTCCGGGATACATGTTCTAAGTTTGATGTACGGATCTCGGGTTCAAGTTTATCGTCGTATCAAGAAGAGCAGCCAGCAGTGCAAGTATTTCTGAGAGTAGTGTGACTGGACATAACTGTTGTCGTCATTGAACTTGCGCGGATGGACCCGAACCTCTGGGATTGGAAAGCATAGCAAATTTTCGATGTAAGGCCTCGAATTATGGAGCCGTTTCGGGTTGTTGGTATCATGAGCAACCCCTTCAGCGGCTTCTTTACAAGGACGGCTGGCTACTTTAGACTAGCTCGTCTAATCCGACAAGCTTGTGTTGCAGAAGATTCCGACGCCACGTGTGCGTTCTGGTAGGTTTCCGGCTCGGGATCGGGACATTGCAAGAGTAGATTGAGAAGTGGTTTCGTGCTCACGTTACGCTGGCACAAGGCACAAGGCAGCAGTTGGGCCCTCGACTTTTGTTTCCGTGCAGCACAGATAATAGTAATAATAGTAACGACAGTGACAACAATGCTAATCGCAAGTAGAGCGGACTACAAGCCCTCGTTGAAAGCAGGATGGTTTCGACTATGAGCCATAGACCATCTCGTTGTGCAGTCCTTCTGTTCCATGCACCGAGAGCGAGGAGTGCAGGGACCTTCGCAGAACTCCTCTCAGCTTTTGTCATGCCCTATAGGGTTTTTGGGGTTTAGGGGTAATGGACCCATTAGCTGTGCCCGAACCCGGTCGACGGAAAACCGAAAAACCCGAATGGATCCACACGGAGCTTTTGAACCCTAGACCCAACACGAAGCCCCAAGGCAACAGTGTCGTCGAAGCCTTTGGCGTCGCTTTCTTCTTCGTCTCGTTCATTGTCGTGACCCGACTTGGTCAATGTTTCCTTGATGGGAGGAGGATCCGCATTGGATCTTTCTGACCTAGTGTGTCTTTCTCGGTCAGTGGTATGGCACACGGCCACTGTATAAGTACTTGCAGCTCGCTACAAGAAGCAACGGCTCTTATGCAGTTGTGACTGTCATTTTCACCACCACTGTGATCAGAACTGTAGCAGCCACAGTTGCCAGCGTTGGGTTAAAGATTTCACATGGTGCGGTTGCTGATGGCCGAAGTTGGATGCAGTCTTCGAAAGTTTGTAAACAACACTGGAACAGGCAAGCTTACACTGGCAACACAGCATCGGTCGTGGCATCAGCGACACATTCTGAAGTGCTACAACAGAGCTCATCAGACAGTACGTCTGTTTACCAGCACGAACAAGTTGAACTCAATGACCAGCTGTCCATGTTGCAGAGGCAAGAGCCAATCTCGATTGTAAGCTGTTCTTGGCATTCGGACTGTTGCGCAGCTCTTCCCGCGCGGTGCTGCATTGAACAAAGTGGTCGTTGACAAGTTGTTGCCACTGCCACCCCTTTTGCTCCTTCGAAGTTTCTGCTGCTAGGTGAATGGAGTGGTTCTTATCAATGTCGTCGTGGCAGTTCTGCTGGAGAAGATGGCGGGGCCTCATGGTTGATGAGCGTCATGGGACCTGCAACATGCAGTGCCTAGCATGCTTAAATTTGGGAGTGGCAATGGAGGGAGGCTCAGATGTGGCGTCTGACAGCCAGATGTAGAGCGCTTGTCGTGGATGTGTTTGGGCAGCAGAACAGGTCAAGTCTTCGTACTAGTTGCTCTGTTCTTTTGCCAGGTGGATGACGAAAAAGACCCACAGGCAGGGTGGCGCCACGTGGCAAGGGAAATCCCGTACGTATTCGCAACACAAGTTGGTTTTTATCCTGGATATCCTTGGAGCACTTTGCATCGGAGCTGTCGTCGTGCAAATACTGCACGCTGGTACCTCGACGACCACATGTACCACACGACTACTACTATAGCTCATGCCGTTTGAAGTTCTTCAGAGTTAGAGGGAACAGGAAATTTCATGGTGTGCCTTGCGACTGATCATGCCAACCACTTGCAGGAAGAGGAGGAGGAGGAGGAAGAGGAAGAAGAGGATGAAGAGGAAGACAACAATGTGAAGAGTTTAGCCACTGCCCGCGGCTGAGTAGCTGGCTTTGTGATGTGTGGGGCTTGATCGGAATTCTCGAGGTGGTTGACGGTTCTTTGTTCGAGCTGTTCTGTAGTCGTTGCAAGATGCGACTCGGGAGCAGATGACGATTTGGAATGTCAGCTTGTTGCCTGCATTGCTGTACTTTGCTCACCGAGTGTTGGCTTACATTTGCTTGTTGGACTGGAGTGGTCTGCCCTTCTTGCACAGAGGCACCGCAGGCAGGCGGGGAAGGTGGCCTGACGCCAGAGTCTGCAGAAGCAGCACGAGCACAGAATTGGCACCCTAGATGCACAAGGCAGTTCGGTGACATGTCACATATTTCCTGGATTTTCAACGGTAGTTTGTCCAGCATGATATCAAGTCATGTTTGTTTTGAATGGGACCAACAATCACAATGCAAGTAGTACCATCATGACAGGTGCACTTGTAGGCGGTGAAACTCAGAGCAGTCGATAGTGCAACGGTCACTTCTTTTCGGCGGGATGGTCTCTCCCCTGCTTCTACTCCCAGCACAGTACAGCAATGCGAGTATTGATTACTCTTGTTTCTCAGTACTACTAGGGCCTTGTGCCCGTATTACTTATTCAAGCTCATATTCTAATCCTCATACCAGTACTGTTACGAATACTACAACTTATACAAGTACTAGTACTAGTACTGTGCCGCCACCACCACCACCACGACCGCGACCACGACCACTACCACTACCACCACGACTACGACTGCTGCTACAACAACAACAACGACAGCAGCTGCTACTAGTACGACGACGACTACTACTACTACTAGTACTACCACGCCTACCTGGCTTTGCCACTGCCATTACTGTTGCTATTGGTGCAGGGGCGAACTGTCATGTACATTCTGGAGGAGAAGATCGTGAAGATGTTAATTATCACCATACGTGCAGGGTTGTCGTCACCACTCACCATCATCGTCTTCATCAGCGCTATCATCGTTATCATGTTAATCTTTATTACCGTCATCATCATCATCATCATCAAGCTTGTTGTAGCAATGATCCCCAAAAGGGGATGGTCGCCCTAAAACTCTACGACCTACACCCTGAGCCCCTCGGCGCCAAAAAAACCTGATGCAAAAATGACACACCCCTTTTTCAAGAACACGAAGCCCAAGAGGCCTTGAAGCCCCAACTTGGGGCTCCTCGTTCTAAAAATATGGGTGGTTGTCAAAATGATGGTCCCTTTTTGGGTACCCTAAATACTGGGTGCCGTACTATATTGGGGACCCCAAAAAGGGACCAGAATTTCGACAACCACCCATATAGTTTAGTTTACCTCAAAACCCTACGTTACTTACGAAGGGCCCCATATCAGCTTACTCGGGATCTCAGGTACCGGGCCGAACCCTAAACCTTAAACCCCTATAAGAGAGCTTTCCCAGAAGGTCTGGCGGGATGCCGCTCTCGGGATCACTGCGAGACGGAAAAAAGGGTATTAAAAAAAAAGCCCCTAGGGTTTAGGGTTTAGGGTGTAGGGTTTAGGGTTTAGGGTTTAAGGTTTAGAGGAAGGTTTATGACTCGTGATCTCAGGCACTGGCCGATGACCTACGAGCCTGGCGATGCCAAAGCCTGGTCCCACGGGACCAACGGCGATACCAACGGCGACAGTCAGGCCTGGTCTTCAGGGTTGGGGGGTCTGGGGGTCTAAGGGGTTAGGGGTTCAGGCCAGGGTATAGGGTTTAGGTCAACGCGCCGCAAAGGGGGGCCTAACAAAGGGGGGCACAAGCTTCCAAGTCCATTTGGGCCCATCTGGGCCCAAACGGGGGCATTTTGAAAAGTTCAGTTTTCACCACTTGTTTTCAAACTTGGGGTCAGACGCTGGGTTTACCAATTTTAAGGGCACGACACTGTGGCACTGAGCAGCGTCGGGATCGGCATTGGTGGGGAAGTTTGCAAAACCGACCAAAACGGTCCAACATGGCTCAAAGCTGTCCAAATCGGCCAGTTTTGGGAAGTTCCCCGTTCAACGACGGAATTTCCTTGGCCACTCATCGATTAGCTTCATAAAGGGTCAGATTCGGAACACGGCCCTCGTAAGAGTTGTTCAAAATGCATTCGCAGGGTCGGTTTGACATCAGCATTAGGCCCCCCTTTGTTAATCCCGCCTTAGCAGCGCCTCAATTAGGGTTTGCGGTAGAATAGTGCATAGGCGGAGTTGTTTTGCGACGCTGGAAGATCGAGTGCGTCGTAGTACGCTTTTCTCCTTCACCTCAAGCCCGTTGAGACTGCAGCACAGGGCAAGGGCACGGGTAGAGGTTAGGGTTTGGGGGTTTGGGGTTTGCCGTAGCTCGACAAATGATACACGTCCTTCCGGAGACACCAAGACCTTGAAAGATTTGCTTCGATTGTGGGTCTTTTCCTTCGATGAGTCCGTCGAGCATTCACTCTCACAATCTAAGTTCCAAAGACTCTGCAAAACTTTCGAAAGCCACAGCCTGAAAGCTGAAGTGGCAAACCTCAGAGAGTCACCTTTCCATTCGACGATCCCAATGCAAACTGTCCTGAAGCCTAGAACCGCACCTTCCGAAGGCAATCGACAGCGAGACGAGTGCTCTGGGGCCCCAGGAATCCTCGCGGCCGAGGGTTTGCGGCCTTTAAGGGTTCAAGGTTCAAGGTTGGGGGTCCAGGGCTTCGGGTTGGGGGGCTGCAAACCGGACATATCTGCTTTGGAGTTCAGACCCACGCAAGCTCGGCGCATGCTCGCAAGCTTGATGCCATGTCATGTAACGATTTTCGGCACCTGCACAGGTGTAAGTGCAGGGCTGGCGCGGGCTATTGCATCGGCGAAAAGTCTACTCGTCCGCCTGCTTTTGCTTTCGTTCTGTTCCACAGGCATCAGTGGTGCTGGTTGCAGTGGGAATCGCCGTCGTTATCGTCAGTTTGTGAATTTTGCGGCGTGGTTAGGTTGTTGATGCTGCTGTTTTTAAACTTTTTGGCCGTTGAAGTTGGTCTTGCTGCTGCTTTTACCACATATGCTGTTGTCGCTGGTGTTCGTCTTTGTTTCCATGGTAGTTGTGCTGGTGCTGGTGCTGGTCGTGGTGGTTGTGCGCTACTTACTGCTGCTGCCGCCGCCGCTGCTGCTGCTGCTGCTGCTGTTTTTGCCATTGCTGCTACTGTTCGTTTCTGCTCTTCTCGCTCGTGCTGTTGGCTGCCTTGGCTGGTGGCGGTGGGTGTTTTCCTAGTCATCGTGTTGCAGTGATGTTGGTCTTCTATGAGCATCGCGACTTTGTGCTTGCTACGATGCCCAAACAGAGCACACAATTCCTGTGTTTCACCAGTAAGTGTGTCTGCACTCGCCTCACGACGTCGTGAGGCTTCAATCCTCAGAAGATGCAGCGGCAGCAATCGTAGAAATTGCGGTGCTTGGAGCATTAAAGGCCGCAAGCCTATAAAGTAGTCAGTACCAAGAAGCTAGGCATAGTGAGAGTAGCAAGAACAGACAGTTGCAAGGAGTAGTAGTAGGAGCAGTAGCAGCAGTAAGAGTGGGAGTAGGACTGAGTAGGAGCAGGAGGCAGCGTTTTCGTGACATGTCGAATGAGTCTAATGAATCAAACAGTGATTTTGATATTCAAAGCTAGAGGCTTCAAGCCGAAGATCCGTGAGGATGGTGCGTCTACTTCCAGGCGGATAGCCAACCTTCGGGCGGCTTGGCTGGAGTTTGATATTCATCCTTCATTCGTCTGAAGCCTAAACCCTGCTCGGGTTTTTAGACTCGAGGTAAGGACTTTCATGAAAGTGCAGGGGTATCAATGGTGGGGACTTCGAAAGGCTTCAAGGCTTCTTCGGCACGGTGCAAAAGCCCTTTTTCGTTGGAGGTTTTATAGGGTTCCTGCATGTGCCCCAGGCAGACCTGGACGCTATGAAAGGAGACATGAAAAGCATCCAGGCTGGTTGGGTGCTGTCCGACCGTGCACACTTGGAGCTGATGTGTTTCTTCCCGTCCTGTACACTCTGGTATGTTTTGTTGGGGGCGAGGTGTTCTGTCTGTCGACACCAGCGATGCCATTTGAGCTGCGGCTCCGTGGCCGTGGCGCACAATACGTTCCTTTCTGTCAGGAGAGCATGTCGATGCTGATGAGCCTGCTGAACATCCCTGTCCAGCTCCAGGCAGACCTGCTTTGTGGCATTGCGTGGATCCGTGGACCTTTCTGTTGTCATGCTGTGCATTCTAAACCCTAAACCCTTAACCCTCAACCCTAGACCCAAAACCGTGAGCCCTAAACCCTAAATTTCTGGATATCTTTTGCCTGTTCTGCTCCGTGCCAGGACAGTGATCAGAGCCCCAAGGTCGGCGAAGGCTCCCGACGACCGGTCACAGGGTTCGGGTGATATGGGAGCTATGAGGGTTCCTTTAAGGGTTCCTTTAAAGGGATGCTATAAGGGTTCCTTTAAAGGGTTACTATAAGGGTACTATAAGGGTTCCTTTAAAGGGGTACTATAAGGGTACTATAAGGGTTCCTTTAAAGGGTTACTATAAGGGTGCTATAAGGGTTCCTTTAAAGGGTTACTGTCAGTGTACTGCAAGGGTTGGTTTAAAGGGCTCCGTATGGGAGTTACCGAAAATCAGGGGATACCCCTTATTTTGGGGGCCTTGTAATGGGGATCCTACTATATTTAGGATACCAAATTAGGGGTACCTTATTTCGGGGCCTTATTAGACGGATCCTACTATTTAGGGTACCGGATTAGGGTCCCCTATTTTCGGAAACTCCCATATTCAGACATAGCCAAGGACTCATGGCTCACGACTTACTTAAAGGTGCAGTTGGAGATGAGGATCGGTAAATTCTCGTTGCTTCTTGAAACCCGTGCGCGCGTGGACCTGCATGCATGGTTGTGCACATCGGCGAAGGAGCATTGCAGTCTCACCCTCTCCTGCTCGCCCGGCCCTCTCTGCCCTCTGCGCTCTGATGATGTGATTGTTTCCTGTATCCCAATATCTGTCTTTATCTTTCTTGTTTTGTGTTTCCTCCTTCTCTCTCTGCTTGATCTTTCCGAGCCATGCTGAGCATCAGTCCCAGGGCCTGCTGCATTACGTTTGGTTTCACTGAGACCTCCTACCTATAGTCTCCATTGTAGTTCCTTTTTTTGGTTATCCAATTTTATGGTTAGGACCCTATAATAGAGATTTTGGTTAAGCAAAAAAGGGAACTACAATGGAGACTATAGGTAGGCTGCCTTGGCATCAGGTCTACGGCAAGCCGGCCTGTCCGAGTATGATGCGGTCAGCCTGTCGTTGTGGCAGCCCGAGCTTTAAAGGGTTACTATAAGCGTACTATACGGGGTTCCTTTAAAGGGTTACTATAAGGGTGCTATAAGGGTTCCTTTAAAGGGCTGGGTCCATACTGAGAGGCTCCCATGCCCTTGAACTGCCCCTGAAGCCACGATCCCAGATGGGAGTTTCAGAAAATAGGGGACCCTAATGTCATACCCTATATAGTGGGATCCCTATTATAAGGACCCCCAAATAAGGTACCCCGGATTTTCGGAAACTCCCAGATGATCCCTCATTGTGCTTTCTTGTCTCGCTGGTGTTCTACATGCTTCTCTTTCTTGGGGCTTTGGGTTCGAGCTGGTGTTGTGCCGCCATTTGCCTACTCATTCGCGAGACGTCGGTCGGACTTGCTGGCATACTGTGAAACACGTTACGATCGCAGACTTTGACAGACGCTTCAGCAGGCAGCACCGCATGCAAGATTTTGTTCTTTGTAAACGTTCGTAGCAAAGCTGAGAACTGACGGCATACCATGTAACGTTGGCTTGTGGCCTTGAAGATGTGGCGACACTGAATCAACCAGAGTAGTTATGTTACTGTTTTGTTGAGAGCATGACTGCGGAGTATGGTATGATAGTGCCCCACGCTTCACTGCTTAGCTTCTACTTGCACGTTCACGTGTAGGAACAGTTGCAAGTATGGAAGCTATAGACACTGGCGTTCACTCATGCATATCCATTTCTGACCTGTGCAACCCCTGATAATACTGTGAGTAGTGCTATTGCTGCCACTACTACTACGACGACCACTACCACTACCACTACCACTACCACTACCACTACCACTACCACTACCACTACCACTACCACTACCACTACCACTACCACTACCACTACCACTACCACTACCACTACCACTACCACTACGACTACGACTACGACTACGACGACTACTACTACTACTACTACTACTTCTACTTCTACTACTACTACTACTACTACTACTACTACTACTACTACTACTACTACTCCTACTCCTACTCCTACTGCTACTGCTACTGCTACTGCTACTACTGCTACTCTGACCACTGATATTGTTGAACTCGAGGGTTCGAGGCGAGTGGACCAATCTGCTCCGAGGCCTACCGCTTCCTTGCCGGGCTCTGTGTCGCTTCGTTAGCGGAATCTCGGGCCTCAGTGGTCTGAATGCGTCAGTGGATGTCCAGGAACCCGGCTTGATGTACTTCTGCCGATTTTTTGGGGTTCTTTCTGAAGCCATGAGGGTTTCCTTGCAATATGGACTCCAAACAGTAGGAAAATCCCTCCTGACTAAATCGTCATTGGAAGGAGCAGTAAGGTCATTGTTACCATGTGGTAGTAGCAGTAGTAGCAGCAGCAGCAGTAGTAGTCGTCATAGTAGCAGCAGTAGTAGTAGTAGTAGCAGCAGCAGCAGTAGTAGGCA